GTAAATAGGCAGATGTAGACTAAGGTTTGGCTGGATAACCCCTTTTGCCTGTGATGTGTTCTTAGCTGTGGAATTCATGATGTCCCGTTAGTTCTTATTGCCATGGATGTGGCAACAGCCTTCATTATATTCGCCTCTTCTTGGGGCAAGGGAGAGCGCTTTTGAATGTAGTAGATGTGCAGTAATTGATTATTAAATAAATGAATGGGGCTTCCCTGGTAGCGCAGTGGATAAGAATCCACCTACCAGTGGAGAGGACACGTGTTCCATCCCTGGTCCAGGAAGATTCCCACATACCACGCAGACAGTAAGCCCATGCGCCACAACTACTGAACCCTCCTGCTCCAACCACTGAAGCCCACAAGCCTAGAGCCTGTGCTCCTCGATGAAGAAGCCACCACAATGAGAAGCCTGCACAGCACAAAAAAGAGTAGCCGCACTCACTAAAACCAGAGAAAGCCAGTGCAAAGCAGCAAAGACCCAGCACAGCCAAAACCAACCAAATAAATAAACAGAAATCAGCTGTTTAAAAATAGTAATAATAAAGGACCTTGTGTGTGTGATAAGCCGCTTCAGTTGTGTCTGACTCTCTGTGACCCTACGGACTATAGTCCAACAGACTCCTCTGTCCATGGGATTCTCCAGGCAAGAATATTAGAATGGGTTGCCATGCCCTCCTCCAGGGGATCTTCCTGACCCTGGGATTGAACCTGCATCTGTTACATCTCCTGCACTGGCTGGTGGGTTCTTCTTTACCACTAGCGCCACCTGGAAAGTTCCATAAAGGACCTTCCCATTCTTTAAGAATAATTGGAATGGGAATCTAGCAAGCAGTGAGTTACAATGGGTTTGTTATTTTATCCACATGTTCACTCATTTATTCAGTCAACAAAATGTGCTGATCCCCTGATGTGCACTAGGCATGTTCTAGATGCTGGATGTTCACGGCAGTGCCTGAGACAGACAAGGTCCTCTCTCTGAAGGAACATAGTCCCAGAAGGGTGGCAGAACGTCAACAAGCCAGTGAGAAGGTACCCAGCGCTGGCAGCTGTGGTGTGGAGGTGTGAGTCCAGTGAGAGCTGCAGTCCCGGGGGTGGAGGCTGCACGGCTGGAGCTGCAGGCACAGAAGAGCCGTGGAGAGGGACACCTGCTGGAGGACAGGCCAGAAGCACTGCGGCCACTCTCTCCCACCTCTGACCTCCCTGGGTCCTCCCCCTGGAGAAATACAACCTCAGCTGAAGAGTCTGAGACCAGGTGCTGCAGTCCCTGGGGGTCAGCCCCCCAGAGCACAGAGCAGGGCAGAGACAGAGCATGATCCAGGCCCAGCGGGGTCAGCCAGGAAGCTTCTCCCCGCATCTGAGCACCCTGAGGGCAGGCTCTAAGTTGGGTTTACCTTTCTCTTCTCCATGGCACCCAGGGGACACAAAACTTGGCAAGAAGCACATGCTTGCTAATTTAATTGTGTGCTGTGGGGTTGGCCCTGCCTGATCTAAATGTGCGCTTCAGGCATCAGTCACCCCATGGGGACTCTGGTTCTTCACTGTCCTTGGGGAAACACAACATCTTGTTCACCATATATCATAGCAGAGTGCCTGGTACTTGTAAACATTTGCTAAATGAGGATTCTTTTTGCATGCAGAATTTTCTTTGTTACCCATATGCAGAACTGTGATAGAATAAAACATGTCTCAGCTTCAAGCCTGCACTAAATGGAAAGGTTTCATAGAGGTTAGGGAAGAAGACTTGGAGGACAGACTAATTATTTCAGTTTCCTTCCTCCTGTCTCCCTGAGGAATCCTCTCTTGTGATGGTGATGAAGAATTGATGAATTGAGGGGAGAAGGATAAATTAGGAATCTGGGATTAACAGATACACACTACTGGATGTAAAACAGATAAACAACAAGGACCCACTGTATAACACAGGGAACTCTACTCACATCTTATAACAATCTATGATGGAAAAGAATCTAAAAAAGAATATATATATGTATTCTTTTGTNTAGGAATCTGGGATTAACAGATACACACTACTGTATGTAAAACAGATAAACAACAAGGACCCACTGTATAACACAGGGAACTCTACTCACATCTTATAACAATCTATGATGGAAAAGAATCTAAAAAAGAATATATATATATATATTCTTTTGTACATATTCATATATGTTAAGTGTAATTGAATTACTTTGCTGTACATCTGACACTAACGTAAAAAGAAAACAAAAGAATTGATGCATATTATTTCCTCTCTAGACTATATAATGTGCTCTTTCCCCCAAATCATCATGCATTAGGAACCTTCTTCTATGGCTGGAATGAGAGGAATTTAGTCACAGACGTGGACTGTCCATATTGTCTTAGAAGAGTATTTTAATAAAATCAAGAAGCGTTTAGAGCATTCTAGAAATAGAGGAACAGGGAGACCTGGGGAGGAGAGGTGAGGGGGCAAGTCTGATATTAGACCAGTTTCCTTGAGTTCATTGGCACCAGATTTATGCAAGCACCCGAGGCTTACAGAACCCATTAAATGTAGGCTAGAGACCCATAAGAGCCCTGAATTGAGAAAAGGCTGCAAGAGCTGTCTGTGCTTGTCCTTCGGAAGGGAAGAAGCAAGATCTAAGGAGGGGGCCGAGTGCAAAACCTGTGAGCCCGGAAGCGGGTGGATGGAGCGCGTGCTGCAGCGTGAACGCAGACAGAGGGGCACTGCGGAGGCGGGCAGGGCTCTGGGAAGCTCCTTGCTCCCTGGACAGCTGGGGCGGGAGATGAGAGCTACGGCTTCCAAACGGTAATCCTTCATCGTTTACAGAACGCTCTAGGAAAGCTTTTCTTTTTCCCTCCCGGGCTCACCTGAAGCCTTCTTTCCCCTGCTCCTATGCATCCAGGAGGGCCACAGGCCTACTTCCGGCCAAAGTGATGTAGATGCAATTGACATAAATCACTTCCATCCCTGGCCCACCAAACATTCATCCTGCTCAGTGTCCCCCCCATCTTGTTGAGGAGGAAAGATATCCCCAAGATGGAAAGAGAATTTCCGAATGTGGAGCCTCTGATGATAACCTAAACGTGAATACAAAGCAAACATGGTCAGAAAGGGGGAGTAAGTTCTCCGTTCGTATCACTGGATTCTTCCCTCCTCTGGGTACATGTTGCTGGCTGGGATGGGGAGACAGTGGGAGAAATGTTTGTTGCTATGATCAGAGCCGTGCTTCTTCCTTTTTGGCACATCATCCCTTCTGGGCTAAATGAATAACAGAAATTTACAAGGTTCTTCTTTTTGAAGACTGTGATCACTTCTGAATACCAAGGCGAAGTCCGGATGGAAGATCAGTTATGAGTCAGCCTGACTTACTTTATAAGGCTTTGCTCTGAAAGGGATAAGGAAAGAAACTGCATAGGATCTTTAGGTTAATCTGAGGGTACTGTTTCTGTCCAAAGGTTCAGGAAAAGTGCTTTCTCCTCTGCACCACTCCCTAAAGAGCAGATTTGGTCTGAAACTGGGTGGAAGGTTGGTGCTGGCATGAGGAATAATGCATGTTCCACCCAGGTCCATAAGCCGGCAAAAGGGCTGGGCAGGGTGTTCCCAGGGGCCACTGGTTGGATCTCCCCCTAAAGGCCTGTCCCCTTTCGTGAAATGGCCCTCCTACTGCTCTTCTCTGTACCACTCTGAGGGGAGGAAAGCAGAGAGGAAGGCCTGAGTATCTTTTCACTGCTAGTCTTTCTACCGAGTTTGCCAAGTACACGGTGTGCGAAATGGTTATTCCTTTGAAACACAAAGAAGTAATTTCATGAAATAACTTCCTGTGTATCATGATTTGGATAGATGGTATATGAATGTTGGGGGAGGGGAGTGAGTGGTGGTGCTCACCTGCAGAGAAACTTGGAGTTCTATGGGGGTTCAAAGAAAATGCAAGAAGACTCTGGGGCCCTTGGCTGGGAGGCTCACGATTGGGAATGTCACCTCTGCTTCTTTTGGGGGCCCAATCCCTGGTGGCTAAGTAGTAAAAAAAAATTCACCTGCAATGTGGGAGACAAAGGTTCCATCCCTGGGTTGGGAAGATGCCCTGGAAGAGGGCATAGCAACCCACTCCAGTATCCTTGCCTGGGAAATCCCATGGACAGAGGAGGCTGGCGGGCTACAGTCTATGGGGCTGCAAGAGTAGGACATGACTTAGCGACTAAACCACCACCACTAGCCTCTGTACCTGGTCATGAGACTTGGGGAAGCTTAAGGAAAAGTTATTTCTGCCATTGAGAATTTTCTAGAAATGACTGAGATGGCCTCAACTGAGTTTTAATATTTTACTACTAGGACTTCCCTGGCGGTCCCAGTGGTTAAGACTTTGCCTTCCAATGCAGGGGGTATGGATTCCATCCTTGGTTGCGGAGCTGAGATCCCAATGCCGGAGCCAAAAACCAAAACAAAAACCAGAAGCAATATTGTAAAAAAAAAAAAAAATTAAGAAGGACTTTAAAAAATGGTCCACGTGTAAAAGAAAAAAAACTTTACTGCTAACTCAGATCAAAGGTTGAACACCTCGTGTTGGTAACATGTCATTTGGTCATTTGGATGGTGAGGTGGAAGGGAAAGGCTGTGAGGCTGGTCTCGGCAGCAACATGATTTCATTTCCTAAGCGGTGGTTTCCTTGCAAATGATGATGACTCCGAGTCTGTTCCGGGTTGGCTGTGGTCAGGGGGGAATCAAGATGAGAAACCACACTTAATCTATAACTTATGCACGGTCAGGACTGACAGACAAACCTGGGCTCCTGTCTGAGTCACAGAGCAAGGCATTAGCAATGCTTTATCCCTTTTTATTTTTCAGTAGTCTTCAGGTTATTGGAACAGCTTTTTAAATGATTTGTTGCTTCCTTTTTTGTTGTGTTTCGTTGAGGTGAGTCATCATGAAAACAAAGTAAAGAAGAACAAAAAAGAAACCAGCACCCAGTTATCACAGAACACTTCAAAGCTGCCCGCGTCTCATCACTGACAAAGCGCTTGTTGAATGCAGCTTTATTGATGGTGAGGAGATTATAAACAGGATATACCTTTTAGTTTGTTGTTCCTTATACAGTACAAGAATGTTTTAAGCAAACAAAGAAATTTTGGGCCAAAATTTGCTAAATAAACACAAAGACTTTTAAGGAGTATTCAAGACAAGTATTTTATTTCTGGTTCCCTGAGAGGGGCATTTAAATGATCTTTACCCTCTCAATGTGCTGAAGGGTAAATTGTTAATGTTTTAGCATCTTTAGTTCTCATAATTACCATGGAGGAGTGTTTAGGAAAGTAGTCTGCAATTTTTAAAATATGAAAGCACATATTGAAAAATAATTCCTTTGAATTATTTTTGTGCTGGAGAATATAACCATCAGTGGCTGGGCTGGGAATTCTAGTTTATTCAGAGAAGACTCATTCAGAGTAGATGGCATAAACTCATTTCTTTGTAACTCTGGAAAAAAAATAATTAAATGAAGTGATATTAGTTTCTTTTATCTAATAACTTGGATGAATTTGAAAGATATTTGGCCAGGGTAACCAGCAAAAGATGGACCTCTTAACACTTACATATTTCCAGGCAAACCTCTAACTACACGCACGTTTGTAAAATACACTTACTATAATGCTGCTCTGCCTTAAGTCATAGAGCCAGTCAGTACATCCTCACATCCTTCTTACCTCAATTATACCTCCTCACTCATAACACTCCACTACCATCTAATCCTGGTTTAGAATTATATTCATCTGCACCATCACTGACCTCCTATTCATAACCATTCTTACAACATAGGAAGCAAAAATAAAACCCATCCAACGCTGCTGAAAGCAACTAGCACATCAGGGATAACAATCTGGCACCAAAAGTCTAACTAAAAATGGACAGACTACAGTCTGGTATCCTGGAAACCTTCACATCAGATCTCTGGCCCATTCCAAAAAAGAGAGCTTGAATTTTATTATTTCAGCTGCTGGGTGGCCTGCTATTTCTCTGATACATTGAACTAATGCTTTTATTTCATCAGAGAACTCTGGTATTACAAAAATAACAAGTCCTTGGCTTTCATAAAAATAAAAAGAGGAACAGGGTTGGATCCTAAGGCCTGGAAGTGTGATTGATTATAAGTTTAAAACATAATGAAAATGAAGTAATTTTCCAGTTGGAAAACATGGAGACGCCGTCAAGTTTTCTAGGAACACCTGCTTCAGTAGTTGGGTTAAAGAGTGTGTTTCCCTTACATGTGGCTGGTGACAGACATCATTTTGATGCTATATAGTTCCATGTCTTTCAATTGTCCATGCAGGATATTCCAAGATGTAAAACTTTCACCAACCCTTATGTTCCATGCTCCCTACTAATTTGTTATGTCAGAAATTCTGGAATTCCAAATTTCTATCAGTTTTTTGCTTATTGACCTAACTGTTGAGGCAGACGAAACAACAGCAGTATACCCAGGAATCTGGTTAGCGAGGATATTTGTATGCTCTGAGTCTTCAGGCAACCAAAGTAGAAAATACATTAAATGGCCATCTCAAACGATCTGTCCATTCTAACACACGCTCTCTTCCAGGAAGTCACTACCGAATTTTTGCATATTTTATCAAGCTCTGATGGATGAAAAATCTACTTTCAGCATCTTTTCTCATTCTTCCATGATAAAATATTATAATTGATTGATTGTTTTTCATTCAAATCTTAGGTTCCCCACTTCAAATGTTTCTAAGATCTCGGTGGGAGACACATCTCGTGGTGAGCCTCAAGAAATTATGTCTACTTATTGCCCACTTATGGCCTGTAACCTACAATATGTCACTTTTCTCTCTCAAAATTAACAATGTGCTGCTATAGGTTTCTCAATTGTATAAGAATATATCATAGCAAACTAAACAATATTACAGTCACCCTCATGTTGGCTTTGGAAATCGTGGCCAAAATAATTTATTATAAATTAAAAGTTAATTTTACCCCTAGTGCTGCAAGGACAAAAGTCTATCTATATGTTGCACATTGTGACTTAAGAGCTCAGTGATATAACCGGCTCCATACACTGGCTTCTCACACGGCTTTATTTTTCAGCCTGGGACAGTAAAGAATTAAGGAGCAGGTCTGTTCTGTATTGCCCTGCATGGGGAGAGGAAACAGCCCAATGTTTTTATATTAATAATGTCTTATTCTCAACCTACGGTGTTTTAGCCTTTACCCAATTGTTACCATTAAATGCGCAGAGACTGAACTTTCTATCAGGGGCAATGATATAAAATTGTTCCACAAAATGTACTTTATGAACCACTTTTCACAGTTCAAATAAAATATCTTAAATATAAATATTGTAATTCTAGCCATAACCTATCTACACAAGGTGGGAGAGGAGCGGGTTCATGGAAGCCCAGTTATACTGTCATAGATACTCATGTTTCACCATTTAAATACTTTGTCTTATTTATTCAAAATCCATTTGCACGTAACCCATAATTGATAGGCCCTTCCTCTCCAAAACAAATGAACTATCAAAGAATAAAAGGATAAATTATAAGAAAGGAAAATATATATCATTTACTACCATCATTCCTTTGCTCCCAAACTTGGCAAACATAATAAAATAAAAAAGGGATATGGAGTGGATATAGTTTCATTTGTAAAGCTAATTTGCAACAGATGAAATCTTAAAAATATGTAATCAAATGGGCATATATTAACATTTCAATGGGAAATGAATGTGTTAGATTTTTAATTAAGAAATCAGGATTGATATGAAATGGTAAACAACAGGATTTACCAACAGGAAAATCCATTCATCCCACTTCTGCCAAATCCAGAAATTCTAAACATTTCCTTCATTCTCACTCATCTAAGAGTAGAAGAAATCAAATTATTGTTACTGGCTCCATAACCTTTGGGCTGTGTATACTTTAAGTTAATGATATTTAAGGACAGACTTTTATTTGATGTTCTTCTGGGGGTCCTACATGAAGGTCAAGGTTGCCTTTAACCATCTTGGGGTAGTTTTTAGGTTAGCAATTATATCAGTAATATCAATATTTGCAATCCCTTTAACAGGGAAGCAAAGTAAAGTGCAAATACTTCCAGGAGAAACAGGAAGAAGATTTAAATTTACACTAGAAATGAAATGACTGATGTCAGTTTCTTCTCTGAGAGTAGGATTTTATGGTAGGAAATACTCTGGAGGGCCTGAGGCATGGAGGAGGGGATCAACCTTAATCCCAAGGCGTCAACCTGGCAGCCCCGGGTGGAGTCCCGGTTACTTTCCAGTCGGACTCTCATCTTAAGCTTTATTATTTTACTCCTGAGATGCCTTTTGAAATCTTTTACTCAGGCACGCATAGGAAAAGAAATTGCATTGAAACATAGAATTAAATCTTGAGTCCTTATGAATCCAGATGGATTTCCATTTTAAAATAAAGTCTATAAAGAATATTTTTAATTTCCTAAAGAAAAAATAAGAGGACAATCAACTTCTGTACGAGAGATCTCTTACTCACATAAGCTTCATGTGTTACTAAAAGGCGGAAGCGCCATCTCCAAGGTGGGTGTAACCGCTCTAGTTTAAAAAGGATGCAGCGATGAAGTGCGCACCGCGAGTCCTGCCTGCCACCCAGTGGCCGCTGAAATCTTGACTCTTGGCTCTGGCTCTGTCTTTAGATTAAAAAATAAATAAATAAAATCGACAGAGGGATAGACGATGCCCCACCAGCAACTGCAAACCCCCGAGACGGGTGCCTCGATGGACTTGAAAAGACTGCCCCGTAGTAAATGTTAGATATTTTCCTTCCCTCTCCCCCAGCTCACGCGTCGCCGCACCGGCCGCCCGCTCTCCCCGCGGTGCCCGGGGCTCAGATGCTGACGGGCGCCGAGGACACGGAGCTGGCGCGCGACTCGCGGGTCACGGGGTTGGGCATGGCCAGCGCGCAGCACGACACGCCCACGGTGGCCTCGGGCAGCTCGTCGTCGTCCGTCCACTCGTTGAGCTCGGGGTTGAAGCACTGGATGCATTTCTTGTACTTCCTCTCGCCCTCGTTCCAGCCGCCCAGCAGGTAGGCGCGGCCGTGCAGCACCGAGGCGCCCGCCGTGCTCACGCCCACCGGCAGCGGCGCCGCGTAGCTCCACTGGCCCGAGGCCGGGCAGAAGCTCTCCACGGTCAGCACGTCCACGCGCTCGCCGCGCGGCCCCAGCTGGCTGCCGCCCATCACGAACACGCGCTCGCCCAGCGCCACCGCGCAGTGCCAGCCGCGCGGCGTGCTCAGCGCCGGCAGCTCCTGCCACGCGTCGCGCGCCGGGTCGTAGGCGCACACGGAGCGCGAGTAGGCGCCGCCGATGTAGCCGCCGGTCACCAGCACGCGGCCCTCGGCCACCGCGCTGGCGTGGCAGCAGCGCGCCACCTCCAGGGGCGCCTTGGGCAGCCACTGGTTGGCCGAGGGCACGTAGCACTCGAGCGAGGCCAGGCTGCCCTCGGCGTTGCGGCCGCCCACTGCGTACAGGAGCCCGTTGAACACGCTCAGGCTGAAGTGCGTGCGCCGCTGCGTCATGCTGGCCAGGTGGATCCACGTGTTGAAGCGGGGGTCGTACCTGGAAGTGGCAGAGCAAGCGTGACTGGCTGGCGGGAGGTACCCGGGGGCGGGGGATGAGGGGGCGACCACCAGCCCGTCCATGCGAGGAGCCCGGGGACCCAGAGCAGCCCCTTGCCGGGATGGAGGCTGCTGAGCCTCTCTGATCCAGTAGCAAAGTGGGGCCCTTGGGAAAGGCAGGGCCGGCGAGGGTGACTCCCGCGTATAAAACGCAACCGCCCCGTTGAGATGACCTCCGTCCCCCTTTCCTCTGTATTCAAATATCCATCCTCCGGCAGGACTTAGGGGATGCCGGAGTGGAAGAGGGTGGGGCCGGAATGTGTGAAATCAGAGAAGGGAAAAGGAAACGTGGTCGCTTGAAAGCCAATTCCCTGTATCTTCAGACACCAGCTGCCCCGCAGCTCATCCTCACAGCTTAATCAAGACAGGGGTTGACTAACTGGGTTTGTTTCTCTTTTTCTCACAAATCCCTTCTTGTTCACACACCTCTCCTGGCCACCGACACCAAAAAGCTAGTCACTAAGTCTCCTATCGTCTGTTTAGAATGAGAACAGTAGAACTCACGTCTCAGCGCATCAGCAAAGCTAAACTTTGGATGCTTCTCTAATTTCTAGCGCTTATTATTAATAATAGGTCCAATTTTTTTAGCGTAGGTATACACTTTTTTCAGTGTTCAACGTTACAATTATTATACCATTAGCATTGAAGTCAATACCGCAAAAGGTCCAGTTATCAGCTGGAGGAAAAGAAACAACCATAGGAGACTAATACTTTCCTACTTCCGTAGTTCCAAGTATTGTAAACACAGAACTGACTCTGTTGTTCATTCACGTTTGTCTCATTTCACCTTCAAGTCAAGACTTAATCATGGCTATCAAGGCTAAAAATCATTAATTGTTTAATTTAAATGACATGTGCATATATTGTAAAGAATATTTTTTTGATTTACTAGATGAAGTTTCAACTCTTGTTCATTCATTATGTTTGGCTTTGAGCCACTACCACAATAGAAGCACTGCTTTCTGAATATTTCATGTGTATGTGGGTTTCATTTTTTATTATAAATATACAAAAATAACATGCATGTAAATTTCACTTTCTGCAGGATTCATTATGCTTTTGCTCTCTACATGCATCAAAGATATGGATGGTATTTAGTCTTTAAAGAAATGTTTAAAATTAATTAAAATTAATTAGCTGTCACATTTTTAATAATCTCAACCTAGTTGCCAGTTATGAATTTGACAGTCATCAGTAACAAGCCAGTTATGAATCTGACAGTCATCAGTCACAATCCACTTAAAAGAAATTTTGCATCCTTTTAATCTTTCTTACTTTGCACCCAGTTTTTTTCAAAAAGGCAGGGTATCATAAGGAGCACCCTGATCAGAAATGAGAACATGTGAATTCCACTTACTAGCAGTATCACTTCTCTGAGTGTCAGATTTCTCACATGTAAAATCAGAATCATCAGACTCTTCCTGGCTTGCTTCACTGGCACATTCAGAAATTTCTAGTGCAGAATATATGTGAGTGCATTCTATAAAATGTGAAAATTTATATATGTGTATTGTGGCATCATTATTATTATTGATTTACTGAGCCAGTGACCTAAGCTAATAGACATGATTAGCTTCCTTCTATGTCAGGGCAGTTCTCTCATGATATTGCACCATTTCTATTTCTAATAAAAGAGCAAGTACCTGCAGAAATTGCTGACTGCATGCTTGGCTTGATTTCTTGCATCGTTCTGGTCTTCCCCACCAGCCACGTAAAGAAATCCATCCATCACAGCCACACACTGATTAAAACTCTTGGCTGGCATCTCTGTAAGCTTGCTCCATCCGATTTCAGGGTCTCTATACAAGACGTCTCTACTAAGGGACTTCTCTGTAAGGCCTGGGCGGCCCCCCACAGTGACAAGCACACGGCACCCCCCTCGGATTCTCGTGCGTCTAGACTGTAACGTGTTCTGATGATAGGGAAGGAGGTGGTAGTTCATAGCATCTACAAGAAGCTTATGACAGTCAGCATCTTGCATCATTCTCGGTACTGACTGAACGTAATTAACCAGGTCTTGTGCAGAGATGGTACCAAAGCGAATATTGCTCAAGAGATCGGCAGCGTATTTCACTCTCTTTTGGTCAAATTCTAACCATTTCATTGCAATCTGGAATGCTACTATTTCAGAAGGCAACTGTAAATCATCATCTATAAGAAGTTCATTAATTTGCTCAAAGGTAAGTTTCATAAAATGATCTGTTTCTGCAAATTCAAGGAAGTTATCCCGGATAAATTTCTGGGCGGCTGCCTTTGCGTTTCTCAGGGAGTATGTTTCGGCAATGTTAGCAATGTACATGCAATTCTCAACGTTCATCTCTTGTATCAGAAAATCACTGCACATCTTGACAAGGGTGTGGATCTGAAGATAAACAGCAGCAGAAATGATGCTTCCTATGGTATACAGGGAGAGAGTGAGCTTTCCCGTGTAGGCATATGCAATGACCGTGGCCAGGCCCAGCGGCGCGATGTCATTGAGATCCACCCTTTGGGTTGAGGGGTCTTTTTTCAGGATGTTGTAAAAGTATTCACTGCATGAAGCCATCACTGACTTGTGAACGTCAAAGGATTTGGTTTTGGTGCCAATGACTAAGTCACAAAGGAAGCCCTCCTGCCTCATTTTACTCAAACCTTCCAAGAGGTTGGGGCCATAAGAAGCATCTGTCAGTTCAGAAGAAATGCAGCTAAGGCCATTGCCTCCTTCCAGGAGCCCATTCAGAGCGTTGAGCTTGTTGAGGGGACTGTCTTCCACAATGATGGTCATCTCATTGACATCAGCTTTGTTCTTTCTGACAGTCTTCTTTTTGGGGGCCATGTTGGCAAACACACTGTCACAGGCAAGAACTTGCTGAAAAAAAAAGAAAAGACACGGTTGTAATTGTGCTTTGGACTTTGAAATACTACCCTGAGAAACTTTTCTCTCTCTTTTTTGGTAAGATAGTAGTTTTTAAATGGCACAATGTAGATTAAGTCTCAAAAAAAGATTTAAAGACATTGAGCTAGATCCACATCTTATTGACAGTTGACTTAAGCACCAATCATTGCAGACAATGCTAGAAAGATTTGTTATCAAACGAAACCTCTCAATAGCTAAATGGACAAATTTTATACAGAAGAAATGACCAAATATTCTCTGATCTAGCTGTACAATAATTATGGAATAAGTTAAACATCATTTCAAGCACTCAGTTTGCACTCAGGAAGAAGTAAATTGTAACTATGCTTAGTCACTCAGTCATGTCTGACTCTTTGCAACCCCATGGACTGTAGCCCGCCAGGCTCCTCTGTCCATGGAGATTCTCCAGGCAAGAATACTGGAGTGGGTGGCCATGTCCTCCTCCAGGGGATCTTCCCAACCCAGGGGGCCACCAGGGAAGCCCAAATTAGAACTATTCTGAAGTTTTTCTCGATGAAAGACTATAAACCTAAAACTCAGGAATTCATGTTAAATGTAGAATATATATTAGAATACATATGGCTTATAATCAATGGATAAGGATTTGTAATGATGTTCAAGAGCTTCCTACTCTGCATAGTCACTAAAATAGTTTCCAGATGAATTAAATACCTAAATGATGCATATATACACACAAACTTACAAACTTATAAGAACTAGAACAAAATAGTTAAAAAAAAATCTTAGCATCAAAAAGATACTGAAGCATAACATAAAATCCAGAAGCATGCAGGGAAAGACTGAACTCTTTGAATGTTAAAAAGTGAAAACTTACATCTATAAAACAACACCAATGTTTAAAAGACAAGCAACAGACTGTGAAAACAAATATTTGTAGCATTTTTGACAGATAAAAGGTCAAAGTAAAGTTAACATGTATCTATTTTTATTTATTTTACTGTTTGGCCACACCTCAGAGCTTGTAGGATCTTAGTTTTCTGATCAGAGATTGAACCTCCTCCCCAGCACCGAGTCCTAAGCATTGGACCATCAGGGAATCCCCTAACATGATATTTAAAGACCTCCTACAATTAAGAAGTAAAAGGTTAACAAAGGAATCTTTGTAATAGAAAGTGGTTGCTAAGGAACATCAATAAAAATGTTATATAAACAACAACAACAAAAGAAGTAAAAGGTAACCCAACTAGAAAATGGATGAAGACTTTGACCAGGTAACTAGGTTGTTCACAGAAAATAAAACACAGAATTAATCTTTTTTTTAAAAGCTAAACTAACAATAATTAGGGAACTGTCAACTGAAATCCAGAGAGCTTTTTATTTTTTGTGGTCAAATTTTGCTTATCAAATGCTTAAAATATCTTAAAATATGCATAATATCAGATGTTGGTGTGGTACGCTCCATACATTGTTGATGGGAAGATAATTGATACAGACTTTTGAATAATAATTTAGCAGCCTATCAAAAACAAACAAAAAAATTTATGCTTTGACACGAAAGTTCTAAGTCTACTAATGTGCCTCTTAGAAATATACTTATATGGATGCTGACACATGAAGGACAGTAGCCATTTCATATTATCAATATCATAAATATTTGAACCAGCTTCTAAATCTATAGGGAGTATAGGTTTAGCTGTATATTTAGAGCTGTGAACAGCTCTAATATTAACTGTAGACTTGAAATATATTAGAAAAGTGAAAGTGAAGTCGCTCAGTCATGTCTGACTTTTGGCGACCCCATGGTCTGTAGCCTCCCAGGTTTCTCCGTCTGTGGGGTTCTCCAGGCAGGAATACTGCAGTGGGTTGCCATTTCCTTTTCCAGGGGATCTTCCTGACCCAGGGATTGAACCCAGGTCTTCTGCATTGCAGGTAGACGCTTTACCCTCTGAGCCACCAGGGAAGCCCAAAATATATTAAGTTTACCAAATAAATACATAGATCTTAAAGTTCAGTTCAGTTCAGTCACTCAGTCATTCCGACTCTTTGTGACCCCATGAACTGCAGCACACCAGGCCTCCCTGTCCATTACCAACTCCCAGAGTTTACCCAAACTCATGTCCATTGAGTCGGTGATGCCACCCAACCATCTCATCCTCTGCCGTCCCCTTTTCCTCCTGCCCTTAATCTTTCCCAACATCAGAGTCTTTTCAAATGAGTCAGCTCTTCACATCAGGTGGCCAAAATATTGGAGTTTCAGCTTCAACATCAGTCTTTCCAATGAACACCCAGGACTGATTTCCTTTAGGATGGACTGGCTGGATCTCCTTGCAGTCCAAGGGGCTCTCAAGAGTCTTCTCCAACACCACAGTTCAAAAGCATCAATTCTTCTGCGCTCAGTTCAACTCTCACATCCATACATGACCACTGGAAAAACCATAGCCTTGACTAGACAGACCTTTGTTGGCAAAGTAATGTCTCTGCTTTTTAATATGCTGTCTAGGTTGGTCATAACTTTC